GTATTTGAAAAAATCACCAATGGCTTCCTGCAAGATCGGAGTCTCAGGAGTGGTAACGAATTCACAAAAAGCGTTCTGATCGTCGCTTCGTAAACAATAGCTGCTAAGAAAATTAAGGTACAAGTTCAAAGTAACGATGAAGGACTAAATCGCGGGTCGCGCTTTCGGGCATACGAGATGCACTCAGTGGAACATGTGATTTATCTCGCTCACACTCGGCTTTTGAGCGTGATTCGACATGGAGATCACAAAAAGAGCTTGATGCAATTATAGAAATGGCGAAACCTCCTCTCTAGATGAGATATGGCGGGTTTACGGTGACCAACTCTCAGACTTGCTAAGAATCTGCTTTATTCCCAATTAGCTCGCTTGCGTGTATCTCGTGTAAAATCGCAGGTAGAGGAGTATATGTCGCCGAAAGGGGGATCCCACGCGGACATCTGCAGCAGAACCCGCAGTCATCCCCAGTACGAACATTTTATATCGTACCAACTGTCCGCGCAGGGTGGAGCCTATCGGCAACATTTGGTCCCTTACCCTATAACTTGATAATGCCACCTGCAGAGCTTTGAGACTGAACATTATACCCTACATTTACGTAACCAACAAAAAGCACAACCGGTATCATTATTGTGATCATCACGCTAATTAACCTTATTCCACATGAACCACACAAACTGTTCAAAACACTCGATTATCGATTGTGCATCGAGGTGGGACCGAAATCTGTGGTCAATTCTTCTAGAATGCTTGATTCGCTTGCCAGAGATCAGAGCGAAAGCTATGCTGTAACTCTCTTTCTAATGCTAGCTCTGCTCTCTTGTCTTGATGTCTTTCACAGTTCCCAAAAAAGTATTGTATTGCATAGCGGCTCTAGCTTACAATAGTGAATGAAGTGAATCGTGGAGTTGGTGGGATTTTTTCTCAGATCCAAATATTTTTCGCTCAACGATCTGACAGGAGAATCATGCTTAACCGACGTGGCCTTTTCAAATGGAATGTATACCTTTCTGATTGATGATGAAGAGTTGCGACTGCAGTCGTGACTTTGAGTCACGTAGCTCACTGCACCAGAACGCGTTCCTTCGCGCGTTTCGTCGCACCTGCGCTTTCGTGTGATAGCGAGTCCGACTGCGGAGCGCTTTTGATAGAGTTAAAGTAAACCTTTTACTTGAAAGAGTTCGGACAGGGGTGGGGGGGGGGGTAGGGAGTGGGGGAGGGGTCGTGCCGAGGTCCGGCCCAAGGGGGGGTCGTATCCGGCGGTCGCGTGCCGCACCCCCCGCTTTACCCTGACCATAAGATGCTAATTTCAAATCTGCCTTCCATATATGCGGAACGTTTATGCAAAAGGAGTTATGAGCTTTTATTAGAGCTAAAAATTACATGTGCAAAAAAAACAAAAATTGTCGTAATATTGTTTCTAGCGCTTTAATGAGCAATGACATATTAGAGCACCTTACTCAATAAATACTCTTAGATAAAAAAATATGGTATCACATTTGCTTGCCTTATCTAAGGGCTAGGAAGAGTTGTGCGACTCATTTCATCCTAGATTCACTTTTTCTTTTTTTCAATGAACGCGCATAATCATCGTCCACAAATCTTCGATAAGCAAGGCGCATTTAAATTCAGCATTTTATGCTTTCTCATAAGGTCTATGTACATCGCTTCTAAAAAGGCCACTTCAATTAAATATGGTTCCCTTTTGAGCTAGAATGCATTCACAAAACTGACTTGGTGACTGTGACCGACTAAGAGTTGCAGTATTTCTGCTTGAGTTGGTAACTGCGACCGATAAATATGGATTGCAGTTTTTCCCCTCTGGTACGGGTGTCTTAGAAATGAAAGATTTTGTTGTAGCTAGATTAGGAACGCCGAGAATTAGCAGAACTAAGTAAGAAGTGGGTTAATCCAAGTCACATAAAGCTTCGAAACACTTCAAGCATCTGAAGAAGTTCAAAGCGTTAGAAAGACGAAACTAAGTTGCAGTGTAACATGAATGAAGGACCTGGTTATTTGTTCCAGAAGCATTAAAGAGAAAACTTCTAATAATTTAATTACGCGCTCAGGGATGCCGTTCTCTTCTTTATTTGTATGACCTTCGAATAGATTGCGTATTAACTCTAAAATCCACATAAAAGGAGTGGATCGAAAAGGAGTTCCTCACCAGATATCTTTGTAACTGCAAAGGATACAGCGTCTCTTGCTCCTTTTTGCTCCTCCCCCCCCCCCCCCTCCCTGAAGTGGACATTCTTGGGGTGTGGGAGAGAAAAGGAAATCATAGTCAAAATTTCACTCATCTGCCATCCCTTCCCTCTATCCCATTACACCTATAACACCGAACATTGCAACGCCTTCGTGATCTATACGGCTCACTACATATGATTTTGAAAAACGGGAGAGATAGATTATAATAAAATTGAGAAATAACCATTCTTTCACGATGTTACTGAGCCGAAATTTGACCCATGCGGCGAGGATCTGGTCACGACAATTTGCACATTTTAGCCTAAGCTTATGTTTTTCTAACGATATATTTCAAGAACTCTTCATGCCAAATTAATTATCAAAGGCTTCTTGTTCTAGCAGAGTAATGTCAAAAAATAATAATAACGCAGAGTCAGAATAAGCATGAATCTAAAAGTAGAAGTAATCAGATTTTTCAGATGCTGCATAACTTACAAATAGTTAGGGACACTACGTGAATGATGAGTCCTTACAAAATAACACAATAACTTGATTGGAGATACATTCTGAGTTAATCTTCCCAGCTGTTTTCCTTCCTGATTTCTTCTTCTTCCTGAGGGGTGAAGTCATTGGTGATGTTGAACAAAGTACGAATTTCTTGAACAGATTTGCCCTGAATAAATTTCTATGCAGAACAGATCACTCCGCCATAGACTTAGCTCTGCCATACTCTCATCATTCCAGCAACCACTTTGCACGCACTATCGAGGAGATCAGGAATATCCAAGTAATTCGCAGCCTGAAAGATATTATGACAGATTTTTGAAAAGGCAAACACTAAGGTGAGTGAATCTCTGAAACATGACGTCAGAAGGTGATTGTTGGATATCTAGGTTGATCGCAACACTACAAAAGCATTTGGAATTGAAGCGGAAGCTCCATGGGTAGCTTTAGTTTGTTCGGCAGCGCAGACCTCGCACACTCAGATGATTTTAGCATATCTCGCCTATTTGGCCGCAGTAGCCATGAAAGAAGGCTGAGGTTGAGGAAACTTTGACTGATCTTACAAGGGTTGCATTGCTCACTAACAAGGGAACGATACTTGGTGTCCGTGGCCTTTTGAGACGAAACGTATACCATCACACTCGTTTTAGAACGCTGATTCCAAATCTGACTTCCTTTTCTGCTAATCGTTTCTCTGAAAGAAGTTATGAAGGATTTTCGCGTCAATGGTTGCCTAGGAGAAATGCGGCCGAGGATGCCTAACTTTCAAAAAGAAGCTTGATTGAGGCAATGCAAAACTGAAGAATACAAAAGGACTCGAACCTAAGTCTACATTGACTTGCGAAGCTGTCGCACTAGCCACTACACCACATCTTAGCGACGGTTTTGGCATTCCGAACTCGTCTCCTTTGACACAAAAATCCTTCATAACTTCTTTTAGAGAAACGATTAGCAGAAACGGAGGTCAGTTTCGGAATTAGCGCTCCAAGATGAGTGTAATGGTATACATCTCATCTCAAAAGGCCACGGACACCAAGTATCGTTTCCTTGTAAGACAGTGGCTGGAGCTGGATTGCTACAGTCGTCCTCACCCCACTAGTCGCTCAGTGGACGAATTCGAATTCGAACAAGAACATGCAACTCGCGGCAGGGTACGGTGCAGCAAACGACGTGTCTGGAGCGCAAGCTTAAACAGAAAAGGAAATACCGTTTCTTTTTCCAACAACAACCGATCTTTCCTGTCCCATTCGAATGTTGTAAATTCACCCTTTCGACTTTTAAGTACAATTCAAAAACTATTGGATAATCACTGATTCAATCATTCGATTATGCTCGGATAAACGAAAACTTCTAACACTTTGTATTTACAGTCCAGGGAAAATTTCGAAGAACATTCTCAGAAAGTGGGTATCGTCCGATTTTCAAATGCTCTTTGAATTTCGGACGCTATTGAAATTTCGATTACTCATAGATTACATTTGAATAATACTCCAATTTTGAAAAGAAAATCGGATTGCTCTGAGTATTACTTTTGATTCGTAGTATTTTGACTGCATAATGACCGACCTAAAAAAACGAACTATTCAAGTGGTTCAAACGCAGAGATGCAAAGGCACTTAATTATAAAAATGCCTTAATAAATCAGATAGCGCGTGTTCCGGATGATCTCAATCGAATTTCGAACCTTCGGAGTAAATAAAGTGAATGCAGAATTTACTCAATTATAACTTGATTTTGCAAAGCCATTCTATGTACGGGCCAAAAAGGTATCGAACGTCTGTCGCTAATAACTCATATTTTAATAGCTCTTTTTACAAATACCATAATGTAGAGCTGGCTTCAACTGGAGTTTGGAGTAGAAAAGACGGATCATCAAACCCTCTCCATTACTATAGGGTTACGATACGAATCCTTGGTACAGTTTCGCTACAATGGCAGCATACCTGCCTCAAAAAATCACTCGAGAAAACTGGAAACTTCGCTATCAGCTTAATTAGCACTACTAATTCCTTAAAGGTGCTTCTGGCTTCACCAAACTCGGTATTTTGAAACAGCAATACAGTTAGAGCGGTGTTCCAATGATTATCAAAGATCTAATCATGCCATTAACTGCTGCAAACATACAAAAAGTTATCCACTAGAATCAGCAGGTCTGGAAATCCTACCACAAATTCATAAACGTTCTGAAGTTCTTCTAAACTAGTAGCATCTGCAATGCGATACCGTGCTGAACGTTCCTACCGTAACCCTACACTAATAGAGCGAGATGGGGGCATTTTTTGCACTGGGAATTCAGGTCAGCCTTACAGCATCCTACCTACCGATCTACAAGAGATCAAACGTTCGACACATTGAGACAAGTGTGGACATAAGAGAGCAAGTGCTGTCAGTATCACAACCTCCCAAGTAAAAAGTGCTATGCAGAATGAGTAAAGAAATTTTTGATTGCGCAGCAAAAGCGATGGCCATTGAAATCATTTCCTCTCTGACCAGTCTCATGTTTCCGCGAGTCTAGATTTGGAAAAAAGTCTAGTTTCCTTCAATCTCACATACAACTCTTTTCTCTTTCTTATGCCGTACAGTCTTCCGCGCAAATGCGCCTTCAGCACGTAACGTCTTCTAAACAAAATTTATATAAGAAATTGAAGAAAACTGAATTCCCAGCGACATCAAAATGAGAAGATGCTTTGCACTTTGAAGTTGATGCTACTGGCTTACGAAATTAAGGAGCCCCTTGTGAAGGATATGCTGCTGCTGCAGCTCCCTTCCCCGCTTGCGAACTTGGAACGACTCAACGTGCTTAGCATGGTTGGCTTTTCCATAGTAGGTGGATGGTTCAGCGACTCGACAGGAGCTTAAAGGCAGTGTCCGGGCAAAAACTCGATTTTGAGGTTTTGTGCTTATAGGGGCCTATTCGCCATGCTGAATCCGAAAATTTACTCTGGAAAGCGCGAAAACGGCAAAAAAGGGCTTTAGCGCAGGAGGGAAACAGCAAGTGGGCGGGGTTCCCCCAATGTGAATTCATGCTTCCAGTTTCCGGAGCGATTTTCTCGATTCCGCTAGTCGTCCTAACATGGCTACCGGCCAAGTGCGAATGATTGACTTAAAACCGGAACCGAGAAGGTCGCTCCGGAAGCTGAGAGCGTGAATTCACAGTGGGACTCCGCCCACCTGCTGATTTCCCTCCTGTGTTAGAGCCGTTTTTCGCCGTTTTCGCGCTCTAAAATGTGCATTTTCGGATTCAGCGTAGCGAATAAGCCCGGGTAAGCAGAAAATCTCAAAATCGAGTTTTTGCCCGGACACTGCCTTCAAAGGGTATCTCGGGAAAATTGCTTACGAGCTTTCCATCCCTCCTTGTCACTCTGGTTGCGCTGAGTCAGGACTGTGCTTGAAAAATCGAAAAAGTGCTTTTCATAGCGTTCTCCGGTCTTCGAGACTGTTGGAGGGATGGGCGAGCGATCGCCAACCGGGTGCGATTGGCTGCCTGAGCCGATCAGCCCACTGCCGCCATAATGGGTGAAGTTACAATACCATGCAGCCAGTCGCTGTCTTCGGCGGGAATCCCTCGCCCAGCCCCCCCCCCGCAATCTCCAAGGCCGGAAAACGCCGAAAAGGCACTTTTTTACTTTTCAAGCACAGTCGCACTCAGCGGATCCAGAAGGCCATGTAGATGCAAAAAGCTCGGACTCGCAATTTTCCCGAGCCGCTGCCTTTGAAGGTAGATAAGATTTTCGGTAAGTTAGTCTTTCAATTTGTAACAACTCTATAGAATATAAAACAGCACAATGATCCATCCTTGCGCAAAGATTTTTTTTTTGTTGTTGTGGCACGTTGTTTTAGATCATAGCTTCTCAACAGCGACTTCTTCAGACCAACTCTGATACACACCATAGTCGTAACGAACAAAAATTTTCGCCGAATGAACGAATATCGGATTATCAATTTTTAAAATTTTTTCGAACGAATGAATAACGAATAATTGATTTTCAAAAATTTTTCGAACGAATGAATATCGAATATTTGATTTTCGAAAATTCTTCGAATGAACAAATATTTTCGACTTTCGATTTTCATTTTATTCGAATTTGAATATTGGAATATTGGCACAATCCAAAATTCGAATGAACGAATACTTGAATAACCGAACTTGATCGAATATTCGACTAATTTCGAACAAATGTTCGAATATTATTCGAATATTTGGATGCAATATACGAATATTCGAATACTCGAATAACTATCTTTTAAAACTACTCGAATGAATGAATATTCGAATAACCTTTATTTGAAACTCGTCGAATGAACGATTATTCGAATATAGGCCTTTCTCATTTATTCGACTATTCGAATAATCGAATAAATGGACTTTCTCAAATATTCGACTATTCGAATATTCGAATAGTCGAATATTTCGAATAAATTATTCGAACACGAATATTCGGTGCTAACTATAATACACACCGTATTGGACTTTTTCACCACAATCATTCGTTTTCGTGCAAAATTATGAGCAGTGGTAGCGATAGAGCAGAAACTGACTGCGCATTTCTGCTGTATCTCATACTACAAATCCCATGCTGACAGGAAATAAAGATGGCATTTTAAAAGTACATTGGACTAACATGAATGTTAGTATGACTATGAGAAGCTCACCATGATAATATCAAATAGAAGCCCATTGTCGATTTTGAAATACTGTTTTCTCCACTGCTCCTCTTCGGCACTTGAAGTCGCCTCCAGATTCGAACCACGTCTCTCACACCATGTTACGATCTAACAAAAAGATTAATTTAATTGACGTGAGATATTGAAGTTACCTAGAATCAAGCCTGACTGCGTGCCACTGCATGCCATCATTGCCGCTGCAAAGTAGACGCGGTCAGGGTCACACATTCACAGTCTGTCTCAGTCGTGATCAGGCCGAAACGTTAGCCCAAAGGCGGTGTCTCGCGATTTCGTTTGCCAGTTTTCACGTTTTCTGAGGTTCTCGCTATGGGAAATCCATATCTATGCTTTTCAGCGCATAAAATTAGCGAAAATGAAAATTTTGCAGGTCCGCATTCAGTGGAAAATAGTGTAAGTAAATCGAGATCCAACCAAAGAAGGCGATGCGAAAGACTTCCGACGTATTTTCACTGAACAAGAAATTTGCCGAGATGCTGCCTTTGAAATCTCACACTCCCAAGCCAGGAGGTTTGAACAGTATATGCCTACAGAGAACGAAGAAAATGATGAGAAGACAATTCCCAACACGACTACCTATAGCAAGCCGTAAGCATGACGAAACCATGGCGATGGGGACACCATGTCAGTCTTGGCCTCATCCGATTGGAACCAATTGTATGGACCTAGCCTGGCGAGACAGACGCCAAACTTGTCCGGTTAGCCGCTTAGTTGTGCCATGTTGGTGAGACCAGCGTATTCCAATCATGAGGTCTAAGCGGCTAACCAAGTAAATCGGGCGCCTGTCTAAAGCATAGCTCACGCGATTGTAGTCACCGCGAGATCTCTCACTGCAACAACTCTTCATAATCGTAAGTGCGCTTTGCTTGGGCCAGATTCAGTGCGTCTTCGACAACTTACGGAAACTACGCGCTTACGCATTTGAGACCTGCGCACGGTTAACAGTTATCGTTGATTCGTTGAACGCATGGACTGCTGAAGCGCTCCAGACCACGCGCGGCGCGGCTGAAATGATGCTAGAGCGCGTTTTGTACAATGACGAATTTGTACTGAAGCACGTGCTCCACAGTGATCAGTCCTTGCGGTCAACGAGTCGATTATAGACATCTGACACATCGCTAGGTGGCGTGGATGTTGTAATTTGCTGGAATAACGGGAAGCGTGTCTTACGCTAAAGTCGTACGTCAAGTCCACGCCCACGTTTCTGTGACCGTGCACCGCTACTGACTGCAACAGGCGAGTGCCCTCAACAGTTATACACTCTGTCCAGGGACCAGCAGATGGCGAATGGACATCGGTGAAACGACTTCGTCTTTATCATTATTGATTTTTTACGATTTCCCCTTGATCAGAGGTTCAATGGGGAGAGCCGGGCCCACCAAAAGTGAAGGTGGTCCCACCTACCACTGGCCGGCCACAAGTGGAGGTGATAGTGTCGGACACTCACCTCCCAAAAACATCGACCGGGGGGGGGGGGGTAGAACGGGCGAACTGAGCTATCCTTCTAGATCGAACTGTGACCCAACGGTCCTCTTTAGGGCCACAGATACGATGAATACAGCAGCATAAATATTTGAAATAAACGTGTTTAGTAAATGGTTTGTTTTGATGTGAAACTCAGCAAGACTTTGCAGATTTTAATAAGTAAATTATTTTGTTATAACGTACTGCAAAGAAAGTAGATCGATCTAGGAAGTAACCGCCAAGAACGAGAATTCTGAATAATTAAATAGTGAAAAATCATGCGAAATGTCAAAGAAATGAAGATGTCAGCAATTGCAATTTCATAGGTTTTCAAGAGTAAGCGGTGCTTTATTAGATAGTGAAAGAATGAAGTCGATTCGAGAGACAGTCGCCGAAAACCAGAATTCTAAAAAATTACGCCATTTTAGCGTGTTCAGTGACAGCTGTCAGTTATACTCATACAAATCTTGAATATGAGAGTGTGGGATGTTTCGACTTCATAGGTTTTGTAGAGTAATGTCTGCCTTATCAGAATAAATCTTAGCCGTACTGATCCACTGAAAAAGCGCCGAGATCCAGGGTCTTGAACAAACAGATAAAAAAGCGCTTTTTTTAAGAACTGCATGAGTCATGTTGCGACTTTATAGGTTAGATTCTTCTCATCAAGAGCTTTCAGATGATATATAATCTGTGAAGGTTCAGGGCCTTTTACGACTTATGCCCGTGGAGAGAGACTCTGGCGGCCTCCACTCAGTACACTGAAGTGGGCTGAGGAGAGAAATTGTGATGAAAAGCCTCCCCCCAAGGGCAAAAGTCGTAAAAGGCCCTAAACCCCCACATATTATATTTATATATCATCTGAGAGCTCTTAATGAGAAGAATCTAACCTATGAAGTCGGAACATGACTCAGGCAGTTCTTAAGAAGTTATGAGTTATTAAATTTCAAAAAGCGCTTATTTACCTGTTTTTTCAGGACCGTGGATCTCGGCGCTGTTTCAATGGATTGATACGGCTAAGATATATTCTGGTAAGGCAGACATTACCCTACAAAACCTATGAAGTCGCAACATCACACATTTTCACATTCAAGATTTATATGAGTTTAAGTGTCAGCTGTCACTGAACACGCTTAAATGGCGTGATTTTTTAGAATTCTGGTTTTCGGCGAGTGTCTCTCAAACAGACTCGATTCTTTCACTACCTAATAGAGCACCGCTTACTCTTGAAACCTATAAAATCGCAACTGCTGACCTCCTCAAAGACCAGATTTATAACAGATCAGAACATGATTTTTTCGCAAAGGGGTTTGGGACGGATTTCCCGGCCATGAATAAATCATTTGCGCTTCCGCTTGAGCAGTGCATTGATTAGGACCCCCCATAAGTTTATACGCAAAACCCCATGCCCCCAAATTTGCCTAGACACTGCCTTTAGGCGCCATCGTGCTGCGGCACAGCTTCCCCTTTCAAGTCATTGCCCTGTGCGGCTGCAGGATCCCGCTTCTGAAGCAAGAAAAATCCCTCCAGAAGTTACGCAAATAACCGTCTCTCAATTCAGTCTCGTCCTTACTGAGGCAGGAAATCGTGTCCCGTCACTCTCTCCTTTAGTAAGGAGCAGAATGATCGAGGTGCATCCCATGGGGAAACTCCTGTTTTTCTTGCCTCAGAAGCACTATTCTGTAGTCGCAATCGGGCTACGGCTTGCATGGGAAGATATTAGAATTAAAGGGTTCCCAAATTTGCCCATACACTGCCTTTGAAGAGGGTCGTATTGGAATTTCCACGCTTTGGGATCGGCCATATTATTCCTGCGATGGGTAGAAGACTACATGTCGCCGAAAGGGGCGTCCCCGCTCATTTGCAACAAATAAGCACCCTTGCACATGCACGGAGATGCGTTTGCGAGAAATCCGCGCGGGACCCTCCGCAATTCGACGATATATAGTCCCCCACCCTTCCTGTGGGCCCTGCAACAATTATTCTGCAAAAAAACAATAATTGAAATTCGCAAAACGCTCCATAGTGCGGCACAACGGAAGTGGAGGAATCACAGGAATTGCACGAATCACAGGAATCGCAGAAATCGCAGGAATAGTATGGCCGGTCCCATTGAAAATGCATTACTTTCTGTGAAGTTCACCATTACTGTCTGGCTTACCTTCTTGAAAACCAAGGAAGTCACATTCGGTATAGGGATTGGCGTATCATCATCTTGTAAATTCAAGTCCTGAAATCGTATCAGCTATGGAATGTCATATACATACTTTTCGCTGGAGTTTGGACAATTATCAAAAGTTGAGCGGGCTCATTAAACTTACTTCCAGCATAGTAGTGATGAGCTTGGACTTGCCAATCACGGGAGCTGACACTTCACAAATTTCCATGTCTTTTGTCTGTACTTTATACATTTTCACTACTTTGGGGCTCTGGGTAGACTTTGATGGAAGTGGCTCTTTCACGGCTTCACTACGAGTATCCATCTGAAGCATGTTGTGAGTCAGTGATTCGGAAAACCACCAAGAACTTGATTGTCCAAGAGTTAGGCCCGTATGCATGAACAGTCCTGAACAGGGGAGGGGTCCCCTTGGACGCGAGCGAACGCCGCTGCGGCTTTCTCATCATCGGGGAACCTTCGCCGCAGGGATTCATGCACGCGGGCCTAAATGTTTCTCAAGACCAAGATGAGATACATATGAGATACAAACTTATACAGTCCGCTTTAACAGAATGTGGAAAGAAACATTTCCTACGAGCAGCGAGCGATGGGCTCTTTGAGAGCAGCCTATTTAGCCAATAGAGGTCGAAGAGAGTAAAGAGACGTAGACATGGCTTCCTTGCATGATGTAAACTATTAGTTGTGACACGGCGGAAACCACCGCCGCCCGCCTTTCCATATTCGTCCTTATGGGTTCATACTGATCCGGAAGTTCCGAAATAGCACAGTGCTGAAGCAGCCTGCCTGCGGTTTTGAACGGCGGTGGTTGGAGACTTTTGACCGTTTTCAGCGGTTTTTCCCCTTGAATTTCACTCATTTTGGTTTCATTCCTCTACTATGCTTCCCCTGTTGATGGAAAAGGGCTTCGATCTTGTAGCGGGGTTGAAGAATGAGCACAGTTCTGCTTCCATGTATTTGGGAGATGTTCTTCGTGCGCTCGTCCATTCTCCCTTCTATTTTTGTTCGGACTACTACGTGTCAAAACCGCTGCGTAGTTTCACATTTGTATTGGAAGGGGCATAGACGGCTTTCTAGGACACATGAAGTAGCTGAACAAAAATAACGGAAGGAAATGGACGAGCGCACCAAGTCACATCTTCCCGGGAACATGGAAGCAGAACTGCGCTCATTCTCCAACCTCGCTTCAAGATCGAGAACTCTTTCCATAAAAAGGGAAGCGGAGTAGAGGAATCAGACCAAAATGAAAGAGATTTGTGGAGAAAATACCGTTGAAAACAAATCGGAAACTTTCAACTTCCATCGCTCAAAACCGCAGCGCTGCCGCGCATGCAGCACAGTTCCGGCACAGTTGTCCAGATCTATGAAACCAGCCTTACAGTCTGCCCCAATCCTAAGCAGGCCAAAATTGGCATGGCGGGAGTCCACGTCGCTAGGGTTTCGCGGTCACGCCCACGGCCTGCTTCTCTGCTTTCTCTTCAATCCTTTTGCTCTCTTCGACAGCGCGCATATGCAGCGCAAACCGCTAGCGCTGCGAGCGCGCAAATTTACGCCGAATGTTCGGCCTGATCCCGATTGGAGCAGATTGTACCTTGGTTGAAACAAGCTGCGTACGTGACAGGCGTTTGTAGCAAGCCATGCATTATCATCTATTCTAAGACCAGGAGACGCGAGACCGCATTGCGGACATTGTCTTAACACGTTTGAGTTTGTTCTTCCCTATTTTCAAAGAGTGAATAAACCTGGACAAAATAATAACCTTTTTCACATGTAATTAATACATCTGTAAAGAGCATCGAACGCTGATTTCAAATCTGTCTCCATTATCTGCCGAGCGCCTCTAGACGTCAAGTTATGAGCGCTTTTTGAGCTGGAAAAATTGAATGCATTATTAGCACAAAATTCGTCAGAATTGCTCGAATGGTGCAATCTTGATTATCAGAGCACTTCATTCAAAGAATACCTTCTGTACAAAACACTCATACTTAACACTGCTCTATTTGTATTTGTATTTGTATTTATTACATAGGATAATAACCTATGTTAACAATGTAAGCAAACAACAACAAAAAAAACCCAAAAAAAAACAACAACTATTAATCACTCGGTATAAAAAGGGAAGCTTTCGGTAAAACAGAATAAAAAGGCGACAAGATTAATCAAGAGGATTCAGAGGAAGAAAATAGGTAGTTCACGAGGACAGATTTGAAGCGAGAAAGCTTCACAGGAAGCATTTTCATTCTTATGAGTTTATCCAGGTCGCGGCTAACTCTATTGACAAAGAAATTTCTCCTTACATTCCTCCTTGTTCGCACGAGAACGATTTTATTAGGATCACCTCTAGTTATTGAGTTCCTGCATGCAAAAAAGTCGCTTGAATTCAGTTGACAGCCTCCAAATAATATCTTGTGTGCCATAATGAGATCAAACTTTTTCCTTCTTATTTCTAAGCTTTCCAAACCAAACTTTCTATTACGAAGCCTGAATCCCGGGAGTTGACTATACACGAACCCTGATTTTCGTATCATTAACTTTCTGGTAAAGCTATTCTGGACTCTCTCTAATGCGTGGCTGGCGATATGTGTAGTGGGATTAAATATAACCGTACCATATTCGAGTAAGGGCCTAACATATACCTTGTAAGCCCGAATCAAGATATCTATGTCATTGGTTGTAAGAGCTCTAAACAGATTGTGCACCGCAGCCGCTCCTTTGGCAGCAATTTTCGCACAATGTTTCTTGAATGAGAGCTTATCATCAACCAAGAAGCCAAGATCAAGTATCTCATTTACATATTCTATTGGCTTACCATCTAGCTGATATGTGTACTCAACATTACTAGCTCCTATGTGCAACACTTTTGTTTTTTCTTGCGAAATCGGTAGGCCCCATTCCTTTGACCATGTTATCACAATATCTAAAGCCTCTTGCATTTTCTGTTTGTCCCCGATTTCGTCTACTGGATTATAGATTTTGACATCATCGGCAAAAGCACAACAAGATACACCGCAAGAGGAAACGAGTTGTGGCAGGTCATAGGTATAGATGTTGAATAGTATGGGGGACAGAACGCCTCCTTGAGGTACTCCGCTACTCATAGGCCTAGGACTGGAGAATGCATTATTCACACAAACTAGAAAAGTGCGGTTGGACAGGAAAGCCTCAATCCACGACACAATACGAGGATGTATTCCAACTACCAATAGTCTATGCAAAAGCTTTTGATGATCAACTTTATCAAACGCCTTGGTGAAATCCAGATAAATGATATCAGCGCCCTGTCCAGCGTCTAAATAGCGGGTCCAGTCGTTCAAGCAATGCAACATTGCCGTAGTAGTAGACTTCCCCTGACGAAACCCATGCTGCGCAGTAGATATAATTCCATGATTCTCTAGATGATTTATTATTTGTTTTTTGATTATTTTTTCAAATAGTCTAGCAAATGTGGACGTAATGCTGATAGGACGGTAGTTGCATACACAAGTGTAAGGTTTTTGAGGGCTAAAAAGACTGTATTTTTGCACATAGATGTAGCCCCCGATGAGTATTGTCATTAAGGCAACTCCAAGCCATGAAAAGTCAAGAAACCGTTGATTGAGGTGTTCGTTCCTCAACCGCCCTACAGTTCGTGTCAATCACGTGCTCCGGGTAGAGGACTATATGTCGCCGAAAAAGGGCGGTCCCTGAGGTCATTTGCGACAAATACGTACCCTTGTACATGCGCGGACATGCGTTACTGCAGGGAACCCGCGCGGGACTCTTCCAAATTCGGGACATATAGTCCTCCACCCACGTGCTCCCTTCTCCGTAAGCGCAATGAGTTTCGCGCCACGTTCGCGCGCGTATAGCGGGTATTCAAATTGGCCTCATCGATTGAAGGTCCGCACGCAGGGCCCCTGCGTTGCGCATGCGTGGTGACCACGCGAAAGGGAGGACGCATAATAGATTCGTTGACCGCACGAACTGGACATCACTGCGGAGCACCCGCGAGGTGAAACGCTTGCCCCAATACAAATTCGTCATTGCACAAGTCGAGCTTTCGCGACAGTTCAGCCGCGCCGCGCGTAGCCGCAGCGTTTAAATAGTCCGCGCGGTCAACTAATCGACGATAATTTACAGTGACTGTAAATACACATATAAGAGACTCGTGCCAGCTGTTCGCGCGGATGGAGCCTAACGGCAACATATAGCGCCTTCTGTAGGAAGTCTGGGTGTGACCGAAAGCTGATCATGTAACAGTGCGGGAAAGGAGAACAACAACGGCACAACGAGGACTGAGGAAGGATGACATGAAACTCAGCAAGACTTAAGCCGAGTGCAATAATTGAAGAGAGCGGCTCTATGCACGGTGAACATGGAAGGTCGTCCGTATACCGTTCATATCAGTTTACCTTAGAATCTTACACACAAATACTTTTGATCTAGATAAGGCCGCTCTATGGACCCTTCAAATCGGCCCCACAGATAAGTCCTTTTTTTCAATATAATTTGCCTAAAAATCTTGTCAATTAAGTCTGAGGACCGTCGGATAAGCCAGGACCAATCTTAGTGATCTGATGGGAGGCTCCATCTGTGAGATTTCAAAATATAATAATAGGAACAGATTTAGACGTTAGGATCACTGATAGATGATCAAGAACCAGAAATTATATCATTCATTCCAGGACTAGGAGACGCGAGAGCGCATTGCACACATTGCTAAACAAGCCTAGTCATGTACTTAGCAGGTTTATACTTGTTATTTATCTCGCCCAGTTTTATTCACTCTTTGGAAACAGGAAAGAACAAGCTTAAACTTGTTAAGACAATGTCCGCAATGCAGTCTCGCGTCTCCTCGTCATAGAATAGATGATAGGTACAAAATATGAAGACGCTGACGTTTTTCAAGTCAGTTCACTCTACCAACGTTACCAATGGAAGGTGGAGGAAATGCTGAGGAAAGAACATATGTAAATCGAGGAATCTACGATGCGATGTCCTCTCTTTTGCAGCACGGCATTTGCAGGCACAGCCTCGATCGCACCGAGTGCCATGATCGAAAACATTGCAAGTAGATGAGTCATTGCCAAGATGCACTATGCTACACGTGATCTTGTTCTACACAGGACCTCACAAGTTAGCGAACAAACATATCCAGCCAGAGTCAGGCTCAAACGACTGGAGTCAACTTCTGCTTGGCTTGAGCCAAGGCAGTATCGTAACATGTCAAACATGAATATGCCTGCCTTGCAGACATGCTGCAGCACTTCACCATCAAGTTGTACTACACTGACATGCTTCATCGCATTTTCTCACGAGGCGCGAAGTTCAAAAGGATTCTAAG